CTTCTGCACAGAGGTGTGGCCTGCTCCCTTCACGCCGACTCTCTGTCACTTGGCCGACCCCTCAGTCAGACTTGGAGGATGACGCTCCTGAGACCTCCGGGTAAGAGGGGTTCACGGACTCGGCCCGAGAACCCAGGCCAAGGAGGCAGCTGTTGCCCACGGACGGTCAGGGGCCTGGAAGGCCCCTCAGCCCCGTGCGTTCCTCCATCCGCCTCGGAAAGGCTGGGATCTGGAAGGCAGGGGGTGGGGGGGCCCTTTTCTTGTCGTTGTCCCCTTCACAGCGCATGGAAGCTCAGTAACGAAGAAAGAATCAGACCAAGACCCCGGCAGGAACGGGCACCCCCAGAGCAGCAGGGACCAGAGGAAGGTCCCCGCCTGCCACGTGGCCAATAAAAGGGCTGGCGGGGCAGCAGTAACGTGGAGTCTCTTAGCTCAATTCTCGACGGGACGTTTGGGTTGTTTCCAGTGTGTGACTATTGGAAATAAAACCTGCGAGAATTCATGAGTAAGCCTCCGGATGGACGCGTGCTTTCGCCGCCCGAGGGTAAAGAGGAAGGGGTGAGTCACGCGGGAGGTGGGCTGAACTCTTTAGGAAACCGCCACACTGTTTTTCCAAGTGCTTGTGCCATTTCGTACTCTCCTCAGACGTAGGTGAAAGTTCCAGCGGCTCCATATCCCTGCCAACAGGAATTCTTGGAACGGTCAGACTTGCTCGTTTTAGCCATTCCTGTAGGTGCGCCTGGTATCTTGTTGCGGCTGTGATTTGCTTTTCCCTGGCGGCGAGTGATGTTGAGCATCTTTTCAGGCACTGATTAGTTATTTGCATGTCTTCTTTGGGGAAATGTCTGTTCAAATCTTTTGCCCATTTTTACATTGGGTTATTTGTCTCTTTCTTGTCAGGTTGTGAGAGTTTTTAAAGTATACACCGGATACCAAACCCTAATCAGAGATGTGATTTGCAAGTATTTTCTCCTATTCTGTGCTGAGTTTTCACCCTCTTGACTGTATACTTTGAAACATGGACGTTTTTAATTTGGATGAAGTCCCATTTTTCCTCTTACAGTTCGCTTGCTTATTGATGCGTTAGGTATCATATCTAAGAAATTATTTCCTAATCCAAGGTCACGAACATTTACCCCTACGTTTTCCTCTGAGAGTTGTACAGTTTTAGCTCTTACATTTAGGTCTGCACTCTGTTTTGAGTCAATTTTGTATGTGGCTTGAGGTCCAGGGTCCGAGTTCGCTCTCTTGCATCTTCTGTCCAGTTGTCCCAGCACCATTTTTTTTTTTTTTGAAAAGATTGTTCTCGATCTCTTTGAATTGTCTCGGCACCCTTGGTGAAAGTTGATTGACCGCAGATACATGGGTTTATCTCTGGACTCTCAATTCTATGCCCTGGGTCTCTATTTCTACCCTTGGGCTATCCATTGGTTGACTTTTGAATTCTGAACTAACCTTGGATTCCTGAGATAAACTTCACTGGGTCTTACGACTGTTACAGATTGTTGAACTCGACTGCTAAAGTTTTGTTTGGAATTTTTGCACCTACGCTCATGATGAATATCGGTGTAGTTTTCTTATAACGTGTTTGATTTTGGTATCAGAGTAATAACCACCTCATGGGATGAACTGAGTTGTCTCTCTTCTTCCCTTTTCTACAAGAAGTTGTGGAGAGTTGGTATTATTTCTTCCTTAAACGTTTGGTACAATTCCTCAGTGAAGCCAAACAGGCCTTCAGTTTCCTTTGGGGAAGGATTTTAGATTCAATTTTTAAAATAGATACAGGGCTCTTCAGATTATATATTCTTTTTTTTTTTTTTTTTTTTTGGCCTTCACCCAAGCCTGTGTTTATTGATTTTTGGCGGGGGGGGGGGAAGGGAAGGAGACAGAGGGAGAGAAGCGTCGATCACTCGCTTGCTCTTGTCCCACAGCTCGCGGCTGTTTTCATTTTTTAAATTCTTCTCCCGTTTCTTATTTTGGATCGTTCCTCCTGTGACGCCTTTCAGGTTTACGAATATTTAACCTCGTCTTGTCATCCCCCGGCCGCTGTGAGTAGTGTCCAGGGTGGTTGCTGATTAATTTCAGACACTGTTTTCATCCCTAGACGTCCAGCGGGGACTTCCGGGGGTCGCCCTGCAGTGACGTCGCCTTCGAGCACATGGAATACAGGAACGGGAGCGGTTTTCCCGTTCTTGCTGCACCCTGCTCAGCCCGCTCTGGGGGTGGGGCGTTACCTGTATTTCTTTCCCCACCCGGAACAGTTTGCTCACAAGCGCCTGTTGATCAGCCTCCAGCCTTCTGCGGATCTCCGGGGGGTCCCTCCTCCCCGGTACTCTCTCCGGCCACCTCTTGCCACTTGATTCTTCCCTGGCGCTCAGCCGTTTGGGCAACTCGGAGCCCGCTGGGCTCCACTGGGGCTCCCCCAGCTGCTCCATGGTCTGGGCACGTTCTCAGCGGGGTGCGCTGGGCCAGGGTTCACCTCATTTTTCACCGTCCCTCGGGAATCGCTGTCTTTCACCGTCCGATGGCCACGGTCTTGGAAACTATGGCTTTGTAGAGTTTGTGTGTGAGGGTTTTGGTTGTTTCAGGTAGGCAGCGGCGGCTTAGATCTAAGCCCTGTGACTCCATCTTAGCCAGAGCGAATTCCGAAAGCTGTTTAAAAGCGGCCCTCCTTTTGTCCCCTTGGCCTCTGACATCTCTCCGAGGCCGCCAGGAAGCGTCTGTGGGGGAGGTCAAGGGGAAATGCGGGCGGAGGGGATGTGTAGCAGCTGGCGTTCAGGCCACAGAGCGGCCTGCCTTTACTGGGTCAGACACCCGGGGAGGGCCCCGGCGGCCCAGTCCCGAGGGCGGGCGACCTCAGAGAGCCACAGGCAGGTCCAGACTGCCCTCTGAGCGAAAACTCCCTCGCTCGAAGGGCCTGACTTCTGAGTTCGGAGGCCAGCGGCTTGAGGCGCCGTCCAGCACAAAGGTTTTCTTGGCAAGAGAGGGAGGTCTGATTGTGGAGCTCCGTCCTTTTTAACCTTGATTAAAATCTTGATTGGAATGGACAGTGTCCCCTTGGAGCAGACTGCGTGTCGCTCTGGGAATGAGGCGATGTGGGGCCTCGGGCTCCCCTGAGCCCGGGGGTCCAGCTCTGCCTGGCCCTCCCCCCATCCCCCGACCCCCACTCCCCTCCCCGCTCTGGAGCCTCGAAATACTGACAGTGTGGGACCTGTGTGCCTTGACAGGCCTCTAAGGATATAGGGTCACGCACTGTTCTCCGAACGATAATTTTCATTCTCTGACAATGAGCCTCCAAACATGAATAATAATAGCAATAACACTGAGGCGTCTTAAACTTTCATTTTTTAATGGCACAACATGTGTTTGTGAGTGGTTGAAAGAAAAAATAGGCACCCTGGAGACCCTCTGAGTGTCCCGCCCCCCCCGCCCCCCCCCCCCCCCCCGCCACACTCGGCTTCTGAGGCCTGTGGAACAGGCCCGGCTTTCTGCCCTCCCCTCCCCTGCGTCCCTTTAACCCACCTCCGCCAGGGCCTTCCGTGAGTTCAAGTCCCACTGTCCTCCGCCCCCAGCCCCTCAGCGGCCCTCCCTTACGGCCTACAAAGTAGGGTCCCGCTCCTTAGACCGAGCTGCCAGTCGATTCACGAGTCTGGGCGCCGCCGATTAGGCCGCCGGCGGTGGGGCGGGGCGGGGGGGGGGGGCGGTTGCGATAAACCACCGGCGCCTGCGGGACCCCCTTGCGTTTTCTTCCAGGGTCGGACAGGTCAGCCATCGGGAGAGGGTCCCGCTGTCCTGATGAGAAGCGGCTTTCCGAAGCCACTCCGCTCACCAACCCCCGCCCCACATCGCAAATCCCACCCGAGGCTCGCCCAGCCAGCTTCTCCAAAGAGCCCGGGAGGGCTCGGGAAATACTGTTGCCTTTAGGACCTGGAGGATCCGAGTTGGGGATCACCCCTCCCCGCCCCCCGCGAAGCCGGCACCGGAACTGCTCTAACAGGAATCAGCGCACTGGCGCTCCGGGGTCGGGGCTCCTGCAGCGACCTCGGGGGACCCTCCGAGGAGCTCGCGCGAGCGGCGCGCTGACTGGGCGCGGGGGTGGCCGTCCAGGAGGGCGCGGCATAGGGAAGGACCCCGACTTCTGCGAGGAGTCCGCTCCGCCGGCCCTCCCCCCCGCGACTCCCCGCGGGACTTCTGTAGAATTAGGGTGCACGTGATTTCCCAGCCAGGGCGGTCCAACGCACTCTCCAACCAGGGGACCGCCCCCAAGTCCCCGGAGAGCCCCTCGGGGAGGGTCCTCAGGGCTGGGAGCCTGGAGGAAGCAAACTTGCCAGGTGGAAGCGCGCAGCCGCCGCTCCGAAGTGTAACCGCGCGTGCGAGGGTCCCCAATCCGGACTCTCGGTGCCGCTCCGCCCCCGGCCCGAGAGCCTAAAGGCGCAGCCTGGGCCGCCGGGATGGTCGCACGTGGCGCCGTCCCCTCGGGCGCTGGGTGCGTGGGCCGTGGAGGGTCCCCGGGGACCGCGGCTGGGGGCGGGGTCTTGAGCGCAGGCCCGAGAAGTGGGAGGGGACAGGTTGAGGGGTGGTCTCTGAGGAGGAGCCAGGCTGGGCTGTATTGTTCGGCGCTCCGCCGCCCCAAGCGCGCGCGCCGGCCGGGGAGGAAGCGCGGGGCGTGGGGCGCCCGTCTTCCCGTGTTCGCGTCGCTGCTGCCGCCCCACGGGGAGACCCGGGCTTCCCAGCGCGCCCCGCAACGCCTCTTCCCACTCGCCCGGGCCCGCGGGGGGGCCCGCTCAGGTGGGGTGCGGGTCCCCCGAGAGAGCGTGGGGAAGGGGGCGCCCGTGGGCTGGGACTGCCCCAACGGAGGAACGGGCGTCCCGAGTGGGCCTCCCACGGAGCGGACGGCCCGGAGGAGCCCGGCGCCCCGCGATGAGCGCGGGGGCCCGGGCTGCCCTCCCTAGCGGACGCAGCTTCCTCCTTGCCGCCCGCCCCCTCCCCCGGCCAGCAGGATGGGGGGCGGTGGGTCGGCCCTGAGGGTCTGCGCCGAGCACCGCGGGGGCATCAACTGGCTGAGCCTGAGCCCGGACGGGCAGCGCCTGCTGACGGGCAGCGAGGACGGCACGGCCCGGCTGTGGAGCACTGCGGACGGACGGTGCTGCGCCCTCCTGCAAGGTAGACGCGCCGCGCCTCTCGCCCCTTTGCCTCTGCCCTTAACGTCCGTTCGCCGGCCTCCCCAGGCCCTTTTCCCGGAGTCCAGCCCCCGCCCCCGGGGCACTCGGGGAAGCGCGCCCGCCCCGGCCAGCACCCGACCCGCCGGGGGCGCGCGCGGTGGGGGTGCAGGGCGGGGCGCGGGGCGAGCTGCGATCCGGGTCGGCGGGCCGAGCGGCGCCCTCTGCGGGGTCAAGGGCACGGGCCAGCCCGCTGCGTGGACTCACTGCCGTTACACCAGTTTTAACACAAAAAGAAACCGCACCTGAGCGCCTTCAGGTGCGCCGCACGCTCGCGGGCCTCTCACTGGCCAGGTCGCCGCTGGCTGGACGTCTCCCCGGCTCGGGGCCTGTGACGTTCCGTCTGAGCATGCAGTCTTACACTCCTGCAGACAGGGAAACTGAGGCACGGAGTTAAGTAAGGGCTGGTCGGGGGGCGGAGTTGGAGTTGGAACCGGACCCCCCTCGCCCGTCAGACCACCCTGCCCTGCTCTCTGCTGCCTCATTTCATCTGTAACTCAGCCTATTTGGAAACTGGATGAGAGAGCAGGAGTTTCATAAAAATTTTACAGACGCATGTCGGTTTTCATTTGTGTGCTTCCTCATGGGAGGTGGATCTAGGTCTTCCCCTGTGTCCCTGCCAGGTCACATCAAGGCTTGGCGGGGGGGGGGGGGGGTTTCCAACTGTCTGCAGCCTGGGGCGGGGAGGGGGAGATGGGGGTGCTGCGGAGAGTGGGCTGCAGAAGAGGCAGCAGGAGGGACAGACAGGACAGGCGGGGGAGGGGGCGGGGGTGCCCCTTCTCCGCGGAGTTGAAGGTGTGTCCAGCTCACCGGTTGCTCCGCGTGCGCCCCCCCCCCCCCCCGCCCCCGCCCCACCCGCTGAGCCCATCCTGGGCACTGAGGGCACTTGGACTCTGAACTGGCAGCCAGTCCAGGGGCATAAGCCCAGGGCTCACGACCTTGGCCGGGACCCCAGAGCTCAGCATGCTCTTTTGAACACAATAACCGCATCTTATCTGCGCTCTTCATCCCTTTGAAAATATTTTTAGTTGGGCTTTTTTGCTTATTCTGCACAAATCCAACAGCTGGCTGCCAAGGCGCTGTGGTCCCCGGAGGCCAGACGGGCCCTGCCTCCCCCGTGCCTTCCCTCCCCTCTGCCCTCCCGCCTCCATCCCCGGGGTTGGGCGGGGCCTGGCACCCCTGGTGAACCCGCAGTGGAGCCCTGTCTCTGGCCTATGGATTAGGGTCAGGGGTCAGGGGTCAAGACACACTCAGCAGCCCGCGGGGCCCCTCCCTGGTGGGGCTCTGAGCCAGGATTCGCTTGGCTTGTGTTTCAGATTCTGGGTGGGTGCTTGGCGCATGGAGGAAGGGGCTGTCCACGCGGGCGGGCAGGGGGACATGGACTGCTCCAGGGAGCCTCTGCCAGCTCAGGGCCTGGCCCCCCACAGGGTAGAGGGTCAGCCTGGCCCAGCTTAAAAGATGAGGGTTTTTTTTTACATTGCAAAACTTATTTTTGTTATCACCTTTTAAGTCTTTGTTTATGTGTTATATTGTTATTGCTTTGCAACCAGTGTTATTTGTGTATATGTATTTATATTTACATTTTATTCTCGCGTGTCATAAAAGCAGTCGCATATCCCATGTCTGCAGCGTCCCTGGTGTGGTGGCTCCCGGTGTCCTCACCTGCTGCCGTTTCTCGGTGTTTTTCTTGGCCGAATCTACATTTGTACTTGGCCTTGGCCTTCCTGTGAGACAGGAGGAAGCAGCTTGAATGGGGACGATGCCCCCCCAAGGAAGACGGTCCGGGGGGCCTGGGTCAGGCCGCCCAGGGTCCCTGGAGGCCGTGAGGCCGTGCGGGGCCAGCTCGGTGGCACCGCCCCGCGGTCAGGGCGGCCTTCCAGCCGGCCCCCCACGGCGCTGCGCCGACAGATCTGGTCTCAGGGAGAGTTTGTTGATGATCGTAACATAGTTGATAAACTCTGTGGGGCTGACGCGAAGCCGAGCTGTGTTTTGCCAAACACACTTTGCCCTCGCCTTTTAAACTGACGTGGTTTTGAAGGGAAACATAATCTGCAGTTTCTTCGAGTGTTTATTTAATTCACACAAATGTTGTTTTCTCAGAGGCCCTGGTATAGGCCATCCAAGAAGACTGAAAACCATTTCTTCCTTAATTTTAAATAAATTCCCTTTCTTAGAAGTCAGGAAGTCGAGTCCTTCCCAGAATAGCTGAGCTTAAGCTCGGGGCTCCCGCCCAAAAGCCTGAGTTAGCCCGAAACTTCGCAGGCCATTCCGAATCCCTGTCTACCTGAGCCTGGACATCACCTGGCATTTTAAAATTCGATCAAAATCCTTAACATAATAAAACGTCTCCTCAACGTGTGGGTATTTGAGTTCATCAGTCTTCTCGTCTGTGAAATGGCTCATAGATCGAACATGCCTGTGATTCTGTTCCTTCTCTGGTGCCTGAATTCTCCTCAAAGAGACTCAGCTTCAGTTTTCAGTAGGAAGTTGTTCTCCAGGCTGGAAACACCTTTGCCTGAAGGGCAGGCCCTGCTCTGATGGGGAGTCAGGGTCTCCTGGGGCTCCACTGGTCCCACAAAGAGGACGAATTTTTTTTTTTTTTTTTTTTTTTTTTTTTAAATTTTAAAGAGTTTATGTTTAGAGAGAAGGGAGGGAGAAAGAGAAATATCGGTGTGGCTTTTTTGCCTCTCGCGCGCCCCCTACTGGGGACCTGGATTGCAACGCAGGCATGTGCCCTGACTGGGAATCAACCGGCAAGCTCTTTGGTTTGCCGGTCCACACCCAGCCCACTGAGCCACACCAGCCAGGGCACGAGGGAGATGTTTAAAAGACCTGACAACCGCGTAGGTAAGAGGGATGACGAGGTGCACCAGGCAGAGATCCCTGGCTCTGTGCGGCCCTCCCTCTGCGCCAGGCGTCCGTCTTTGCTGTGTCTCTGCCTCGCCCACCATTTCTGCCAAGCACCTAAGTTTAGGCCTTCGGGCCGCTCCTGCTCTGGGGAGTGCTGTGTCCGCTCCCTGATGCCCTTCTCCTCCCCACGCAGGCTCCACGGACCCGTCCCCCTCTGTCCTGCAGGTGCAGGGCTCGCGGACTGCCTCTCCTCGGCCAGCTGCCCGCTCTGGCAGCAGGGAGCGGGCCTGCCTCATCTCTGCAGCTGCATCGTTTCCTGTGGCTGCTGTGGCTGGTGATCACACGGGGCGCCTTGCAACAGCAGAAGCTCATTCTTGCACAGCCCCGGAGGCCAGGAACCCAAAATCGGTGTCCCCGGGCCAACATCAGCGGCTCGCAGGGGTGTGCTCCTCTGAAAACTGCGGGGAGAATGCGGCCCCCTCTTCCAGCTGTGGGTGGGTCAGCACCCCGTGGCTTGTGGACACAGCACCCCAGCCTTCAGGGCCCTCTTTGTTCGGTCTTCGCAGCGCCTCCTCTCTGTCCTCAGATCCCCCGCTGCTGCCTTCTTACGAGGACACTTGTGGTTGCATTTAGGGCCCGTTCCGGTAACCAGGATAATCTCCCCACTTCAAGATCATTCACTTAATTACACCCGCAAATGTGTCTTTTTCCAAGCAACGTAACCTCTCGAAGTTCTGGGAATTGGGAGCTGATATCCTGTCTGCCACAGCGTTTTTCCCCTAGTGTGAGAACAGCTAACACCCAGCGTTTGCTCGGCCTGCACAACAGCCCTACGGGATAAGCGTTGTCACTCTCCCTGTGTCAGATGAGGAGATCGAGGCACAGAGAGGCGAGGCAGCTGGCCAGTGGGCAGTCAGCGGCAGCTCCGGGAGGCCAGCCCAGGGGTTTGGGCGCTGAGGAATAGGCCCATGGCTTCCATACTTCCTGCCTCTGTAACAGGGTTTGTTGAATGACTGAGTGAATACCAATAGCTGAGAAGTTTGAAAAAGACTGAAAGGTGATGATGAAGAGGAGGGAACAAAAGAATTCAGGGAAGCCCTTGCCTGTGTGGCTCGGCGGGAGCGTCATCTTGTAACCAAAAGGTTTTGGGTTCGATTCCCAGCCAGGGCACATGCCTGGGTTGCGGGTTTGATCCCTGGTCCGGGTGCATAAGAGGCAGCCGATCGATGCTTCCTCTCATATTGATGTTCCTCTCTCCCTCTTCCTCTCTGCCTAAAAGCAAAGAAAAATGTCCTCACGAGAGCGTTACATAAATATTCTGGGACAGGGGGAGCACCCCCCGAGTGGCTCCTGGCACCCCACAGACTGTCCCAGAATCAGCTCGTCATTTCAAAGGCTAGTCAGTTCTGGGCGCGTCTCGCACACTCCTGCCTTCTTCGCCATCTCAAGCACCCTTCCCAGGAGAAGAGCAGGTGCTGGCCTGCCCCACAGGCTCACGCCGCCCCTCGTCCGCAGGACACGAAAGCTACGTGACCTTCTGCCAGCTGGAGAACGAGGCCGCCTTCACGTGCAGCGCTGACCACACCATCAGGAAGTGGGACGTGCTGACCGGGCAGTGCCTGCAGGTGTTCCGAGGACACACATCCATTGTGAACAGGTCAGCACAGCCCAGGCTGCCAGGAGGAGAGGACCTGGCCTCTCCCCGGGCCGGGCCCCAGGGGACGGAGACACAGGCTTGGGGCCTCTGCTCCGAGGAACGCAGCTTCTCTGGGGAGGCCCCCTCGTGCACGCGTGGGTTGACCACCAGGAGCACATAGCAATGGAAGCCTGTTCCTCAGGTGTGACAAGTGCTAACTGCTCAGGGCTACCGGTGGGGGTTTCCGAGGCGGAGATCGGGGAGGGAGGCACCACCAACACACAGACCGGGCTGCGCCACCGCCCTCTGCTGAGCACAGGGAAAGGTGTCAGAGGCCACGGCTCCAGGGATGGGGCCTGATTCCAGAGGAAATGGCTTCTACCTGCTGGTGGACCAGGGGCTTGGAGGAGGAGCCGGTAGGAGTGGCTCGGAAGATGAAGCCCAGGGTAGTTTTATGTTTTATTTCAATTTATATTTATTCATTTTGAGAGGAGAGAAACATCAGTTTCTTGTTCCACTTATTCATATATTCATTGGCTGCTTTTTGTATGTGCCCTGACCGGGGATTGAACCTGCAACCTCAGTGTATCCAGATGACACGCTAACCAACTGAGCCACCCGGCTGGGGTGAGCCCAGGGTGTTTTTAAACCTCCTTGTTGCACTTGAAAATCTCTGCCCTCCCCCATGCCCCCCCCCCACCACCTCCTTCTCAAGGAGGTTTGAACTTTTCCGTATTGAATTTGGGTCTGAACTGAGCCATGGACGTTCCTCTACTGATCAGGTCAATGAGATATAGTCTCTATAACTTGTGGCCACATGAGGCTCCCGAGGGACCAGCCCGGATAAGCAGAAGTCTGGCCACGGCCCTCAGCCTCGCTCTGCGCAGGAGGGGCGCTGCCTGGGGGCGGCCTGCAGAAAGGAAGGCTCAGGGCACCAGGCGTTTGAGGGCTCAGGAGGCTGGGCCAGGCCGGGCTGGTGGAGAAGGACGTTCTCGGCCAGGAGGGACGCTGCCAGCGCAGGCTTTGCACATGCCTGGGTCAGGGTGGGCCTGACCGGCCTAATGGCCAAGCACCTGGAGTGACCAGATTGACCGTTAGCTGATGAGCACCAGCTGCCGGCAGTGGGAGCGGCGCACCCGCAGGGCAGAGCTCCACCGCACCCCTGGGTGGCGCCGTGTGGCTCAGGACGGTTCCGCCTGGAGAAGGCAAGCCCCCCTCCCACTGCCCCCCCCGCCCCCCGTCCCCAACCCTGGTCTGCACTCCTGGGGGCTCGGGGCGTCTTCTCAAGGATGTGTCAACAGACCCCTTGAAGTCATACCCAAAGTTCTAGACTAAAGACAAATGTGCATTTTTGAGGGAGAAGTTCTTAGCACTCATCCTAAGGAGAATAAGAATCCTGAGTTTTTGCTGCGGGGAGGCCTCTCTTTCCCATGGCGGGTGGGGGACATTGGACACCCCCTCCCTGCGCCCCTCACCCAGAGCTCCCTGGGGGCCTGGCCCAGGGCTGTGGGCCGACAGCAGACGCCCACCCCTCGGACGCTTGTCTGATTGTGCCTCCCGTGGGTGGCCCTGACTTCACAGACGCCCCCCGCGGGCGCATCCAGGACCAGTGTTGTGGGGGAGACTGCAGGGCGGCCTGTGGCTGGGGAGCGCAGAGGCCCTTCCGCGCCTCCTAACTCACCCGCTGCCCCAGGGCTCGTCCGTCCGAGGTGGCCCTCTGCAGCCCCTCAAGCCTGACCTGTGCCTAGGAGGGCCAGTGTGTCCTGCTTTGCCTGGCCTTCAAACTGCAACTCCTATGTCCCCAGAAGTCTTTCAGTTCTGGGCACACCCGGGGGATGGGCCTGTCCCCCCCGACGCCCCACCCCCTCCCTGGCCCCCGTGACTGGAGCGCTGCTGCAGGCCACGTGTTGCGGGGGGTCCGGGTGGAGCACAGGCTCAGCCCGCAGTGGGGGTCCTGGGCGGCGGCCTAGCGAAGGGGGGCCTTGACTGGACCCGGGAGGGGAGTGTGGCCGCTGGGTGGAGGGGGCTCTTCCAGCAGCAGGGCAGGGGCAGCTGATCTCTGGCCCGGGCGGTGTCCCCACAGAGGTGGGTGGCGGTGTGGGTGGCAGCGACCGAGGACGCCTTTAGTCTGGGCTCCCTTCTGTGGGCGGTGGCCTCCACCTGGGCCCCTGCCATTTCCAGGGGTGCTCTCCTGGCCCCCAAAGCAGGGGTCTGGGACACTCTAGCCCGCAGTTCTCTGAGTATTCCATCTCCTCATTGGCCGCGGAAGACACCAGCCAGAGGGACCCCGCGACAGCCTGCCAGGCGACCCTGTCCGCCAGGCCATGTGCAGGTCCGACCCCTGACCTTTCACCTCTGCCCTCAGGATCCTCGTCACCAACAACCAGCTCTTCAGCAGCTCCTACGACCGGACGGCGCGTGCCTGGAGCGTGGACAAGGGGCAGGTGTCCCGGGAGTTCCGGGGCCACCGCAACTGCGTGCTGACTCTAGCCTACTCCGCCCCCTGGGACCTCCCGGGAGCTCCTTTCGAGGAGGAGGCCGTGGCCGGGGGGCTGCTGGTGACCGGCAGCACAGACGGCACGGCCAAGGTGTGGCAGGTGGCCAGCGGCTGCTGCCGCCAGACGCTGCGGGGCCACACAGGCGCTGTGCTGTGCCTCGTGCTGGACACCCCCCGCCACACGGCCTTCACAGGCAGCACAGACGCCACCATCCGCGCCTGGGACATCCTGAGTGGGGAGCAGCTGCGGGTGTTCCGGGAGCACCAGGGTTCCGTCCTCTGCCTGGAGGTGAGGCCCCCCCGGCCCCGCACGCCTGCTGGGGGCAGGGCCCCTGGGCGCCCTCTGTGCCGCCCTGGCCGGAGTGCAGGCGGCTGTGGCTGCACAGCAGGGAGCCGCCGATGGGGCGAGGGTGGGGGCGGGTGTAAAATAACAGACTCCCTGTCTCACTGTTCTGGGGGCTGCAGGTCCTGGATCAAGGGTCTTCAGGGTTGGTTTCTTTCTTTTTTTAAGATTTACTTATCTATTTATTTTTAGAGGGGAAGGGAGGGAGGGAGAGAAACATCAGTGTGTGGTTGCTTCTCATGCGCCCCCTACTGGGGACCTGGCCCGCAGCCCAGGAAGGCGCCCTGACTGGGAATCGAAGCGGTGACCCTTTGGCTCGCAGGCTGGTGCTCAGTCCACTGAGCCCCACCAGCCAGGGCAGGGCTGGTTACTCCTGAGGCCTCTCATCTCCCTGTGTCCCCACACGGCCCTCCCTCTGCGTCCGCGTTTCCTCTGCGTAGGACACCAGTCCTGCTGGATTAGGCAGTAATCATATAAGTGACACCCGGGGAGCAGGCGCTAAGCCCGCGAACCCTGGCGGCCCCTGCTCCTACGGTGCCCAGCACTGCCCCGGTCGCATCTGTGACCCCACGAGGAGAACCTGGCACGACCCTTCTTTATGGTGAAGCTGCCGAGGAGCAGAGACCGTGACGTGGCTGAGGGCAAAGTGACGGGCAAGACCTGACGCGAGGCCTGCCTGCAGTCCGCTTGCCCGCCTGACCCACGGGGAGCGTGGAGGGGGAGGAGCAGCGAGCCCAGGTGCCGGGTCGGGTCGTACCGGCTCCTCCTCCCCGGAGACGAGCACCTGTCCGCCCCCTGCACTCAGGGCGAGGCTGGGAGGGGCCCCTGCACCCGCCCCGCGCGGGCGGCGGCGCCAACGCCCCTCCTCCGCAGCTCGTGGACCGGCACGTGTACTCGGGCAGCGCCGACAGGACCGTCAAGTGCTGGCTGGCGGACACGGGGGAGCGCGTGCGCACGTTCACGGCCCACAGACACAGCGTGAGCGCCCTCAAGTACCACGCGGGCACGTGTAAGTGACCCTGTCCCGACCCCCCGCACCGCCCCCGCCTGCCTGTCACTTCTGCCCCTACTAAGGCCGCTCTGCGCAGGCCTCTCTGCTGCCCGCTGAGGGTCTCTCTTTGAGCCTCGGCTGCCGTTCAGGGTGCTCGGCGCCCAAGGCAGCGGCCGCCGGGCCACCTCCCAGCACGTGTGCCTAACGCAGTATCTACAAAGAAGGCCCCAATAAGGGTGTGGGACTCCTTCCTAACTTTACCCCACAGGAACATGGCCTGACCGGAAAGTTCAAAGGTCCTGGGGTCAAGGGCACTCTCAAGGTCACATTGTAATTCTCAGAGTGAGGCAGTGGCACCAGGCTTGAGGGCCACGTGGGTTTGGCTTCACTTGGCATTTAGGCTTGACTGCAGATCAGCGAAAACCCAGCCCTGGCTGGTGTGGCTCACTGGCTTGAGCCCTGGCCTGCGAACCAAAGGGTCACAAGTTCGATTCCCCGTCAGGGCACACGCCTGGGCTGCAGGCCAGGTCCCCAGTAGGGGGTGCATGAGAGGCAACCACACACTGATGTTTTTCTCCCTCTCTTCCTCCCTTCCCCTCTCTGAAAATAAATTTTGAGAAAGAGAAAACCCAGGTAGCAGTGGTTTCAATGAGATAGTGGTTTATTTCTCTCTCAGAGAGAAGAATTTTAGGAGCTGTCAGTTATCAGACACCCAGATTCCTTCTGTCACTTTGCTTCACGACCCTTAGCATGTATCTTCTCTCTTTAAGGGGGGCCTCATGGTTCAAGAGAGCTGCTGGGGCTCCAGCCATCTCATCGTGTTTTAGGGGCAGGCAGGAATAAGAGGGGAGGGCAAAGGATGTGTCTCTTCGCTGATCAGACCCCTTTAAAGGTCTTTCTTGGAAGCCCTACACAAAGACTTAAAAAAATTTTTTTATTTTTAGAGAAAGGGGGAGACAAACATCACTCTGTTGCCTCTTGCACACCCCAAACCAGGGCCTGGCCTGCAACCCAGGCATGTGCCCTGACCGGGAATCAAACCAGCGACCTTTTGCTTTGTGAGACGATGCCGGAGCCATGCCAGGCAGGGCCACCATGCAGACTTTTGGGTACACCATGCCGGCCGCTGCCTGCAGGAGAGGCTAAAAAGTAAACTCTCCCACCCGAGGACCCAGCTCCCAGGATCAGCCAGGGCCATTTTGTAAAGGAAGAAGGGCAGGAGAGCCTGTTAGGCAGGCCACGGGCTGCTCGGCCGAGGTCTCGAGTTCCCACGGGTCTGGGCTTTGCCGGCTCCGTCCAGCGGGCTTGCCAAGTGTTTACACCATAGACACACCCGGAAGACACACTGTCCCTGGGAAGCACCACACCTATGTGACAAGGGGCCCCCGAATTCCTGAACCCTCTCCCAGAGTGATCCCCTACGTTATATTTTGCCATCAGCCCCGCTCCCCCGCATTGCGCGTGAGCACACGCAGCAGCAGCAGCAGGAAGCCAGCCCCCCGGCACTGAGCGCGAGGGCCGGCTCCCCAGCGCTGGAGCAGGGAGCAGACTGGGCTGCAGGAGGAACGGCGCGGGGGGGGGGGGTCACGTTGACGTCAGGGCAGAGGTGTTAGGTGAGGCCGGAATGTGAAGTCTGAAAATAGAGCATGCGGTGCCCTCGGGACCTAAGTGTCTGACAAGGACAAAGTATTTTTTTTCCTTCTTCCCCTGTCTAAAGTTGTAGGTGTGATTATGGCACCGCCCCCAAGTCAGGATCCTTAAAGGGAGAAAGAATGTCGCCTAGAGCGCCTCCCCGTGGCAGCAGCTGGGATGGAAGCTGCCACTGTTGCGGATCCCAGTCGGCCCCTTGTTCAGGGACTCAGTCCTTGGTCTTTGCCGACAGGCTGATTAGACTTAACTGGCGACCCTCCTGCCGCCCGCCGGCCTCACAGCAGCCAGGCCACGTTGCTGGGGACAGGACCCAGAAATGAAACTGCCCCTCCAGGGCCACATGCCCTGGTGGCTTTAGCAGAAAAGCTGAGAGTTGGCAGGTGACACAGGAAGGCGGTGCTTGCCGTGGCTGTTCAGGGTGCAGGGTGGGTGTCGCGGGGGCTGTGGGTACCACGTTAGGGGCGCCTCTGGCCGGAGCACCCGGGGCCCTCTGCTCGCGTGCCAGCTCCTGTGAGGGGCGGGGCAGAGGAGGACTGGGAGGTGACACCCACAGAGAGGCCCTCAGCCGACGGCTACTGGGAACTGCTGGAGAAGTGGCCCAGCGTCCTCGCCCTCGGGCGGGACAGCTCTGCTCCGCGGTCTGCCCCTCCCCCAGGGCCCGCCAGCACACCTGCGGGGGCGTCCCTCAGTCCTGTCTCCCGCTTCCTGGAATGTCCTGCCAGACGAACCACGGGCACTAAAATCTAGTGTCGGGGTTGGCTTCTGGAACAACCTGGGCCAGACGATAAGGGGACCAGGGGGTCAGAGTTCTGGGCGTGGACCCTGACCCTCAGCGTCAGCATCACCTGAGACCCGTTAGGGTTGCAGGTCCCCAGACCCCCTCAATCAGAAACGGTGGCGGGGGGGGGGGGGGGGGCCGGCAGCCTGCGTCTTAACGAGCGCAGCAGGTGATTCCAATGACACGGCTTCTCCGCTGTGCTCTAAGGGAAGCTGCCAGGGCTGGGCAGGGGCGCTCTGCGGCGCCCCCGAAGGGCTGGCTCTGCCGGGAGGGCCAAGTTCATTACTGAGCAGGGCGGAGGCTTCTGGCTTGTCCTGGGCCCCAAGAGGCCGCTCAGATGGTGGGGGACCGGGGATCCCCGAGTCAGGGGCTTCAGAGCCGCGGGCACACCGCGCAGAGAAGCCAAGCTCCCCCAAAGGGCCTGCGCGGGAACCTGGGCTCAGGCGGTGCTCAGAACGGGTGGCGGCCTCCGCAAGGGCAGTGCAGGGAGAAGGTTCAGCAGCCACCCGGCGCAGACCGCAGAGGGTACCCCCCCGTCCCCCGGCCACTTAGACTCCACTCGGGAATGCAGTCAGACGGTGAAGGTGCCGCCTCCTTGCTTTCAAGGGGCTGCCTCTATCCCCGCCTTGAGCCTTAGGGCATCCTCGCTTGGCTGGTGGATGGGTCCAGGTGGTTCGCCCCGCCCCGCCCCGCCGCGCCGCGCAGCGTCCTGGAGACGCAGAGCTCAGGCCCGTGAGAGACTCAGCGGCACGTGTGTCCACAGTGTTCACGGGCAGCGGGGACGCCCGCGCGCGCGCCTTCGACGCGGAGTCCGGAGCGCTGCAGAGGGTGTTCCGCGGCCACGCCTTCATCATCAACAGCATCCAGGTAAGTGCTCCCCGACGGCCGCCCCCGGACCCCGCGGCGTGATGGCTGCTGAGCCGAGGCGCCCCCGCCTGCGTCCGCCTGCCAGGGAGGGCGGGCGGGGAAGGGAAGGAGAGCAGGGCCTCTTCCCCAAGGCCGAGGTCCCCTGGGCTGGCCTGCCTCCATCCGTCGGCGGTGGTGGTAGTGGACCGTCGCGCCGGCGCCCGGGCCTGCTGTGGCCGCTGTAGAGCAGGGCCTGTGCGTGGTTGACCCCGCAGCTGCGGGAAAAAGGCTGCTGGGACGCCCTGCGGCCGGGGCTTGGGGGTGGGTAGCGGGCAGCCCCCAGCGCACGCTCCAAGCCCCGCGCGCGCCCGCCCGCAGGTGCACGATCAGGTGCTGTACACGGCCTCGCACGACGGCGCGCTGCGCCTCTGGGACGTGCGCGGGCTGCCCCGTGCGCCGCCGCCGCCGCGCCCCGCCGCGCCCCAGCGCAGCCTCTCGCGCCTCTTCAGCAACAAGGTGGGCTGCGCCGCGGCGCCCCCTGCAGCCGGCCTGAGCCCGCCGGCACCCGCCCGCGGCCCCACCTAGGGACCCACCGGGTGAGCACGCCCGCCCCTGGGTGGCCGGAGGGGTCGAGGAGGGGTGCCCCGGCTCTGCGCGGCCGTTTTGCCTCTCTTTCGTGTTCGTGGACGTTCGGAACTGTCCCCGTCCCTTGCGAGCCCGTCTGCGGAAGGAGACGCCCCACCCCCTTCCTCGCGGGGGCGCCCACACAGCGGCCCTCCCGGGGCCCTCCAGGGTCTCCAGCTCCAAGTGCCCGAAGTCCGCGGAAGCCAAGCCTTTCCTGCTGAGAGGAAACGGACGTTTCTTCAAAAAGACGCTGAGCCGCAGATTATTATTCTTGCAAATTGTCCCGAGGACGCTGGTAAAGAACCGAAATAAACGTCCTTAAAAGTGCTCTGGAGTTTCTTTTGTTCTGCAACCTGAATCTCAGCTTCCTCTTGGAAGGACGAGGAGAGGCGCCAGTAACCGGGGATTCAGGCACCTGGCCCTCGTGGAGGGTGGAATGCGGGGCTGCTGCCCGATGCCCCCTCCGGGGTCATTCGTGTGGGTAGTGGCCGTGGAAGAGGCCTGGGGACCCGTTGCCCCCCGCCCCGGCTTTGGAGCTCCCATTTCTGCATGAATCGGGGAGGGCCGTGTTCTCTCGGTCTGGGGCAGTAGCCCCTTGGCCGCATGCCCTGGAGCCAGCTGCGCCCTCCGCGTGGTGAAGGCGGGACATGGACTCAGGAGCAGCTGGAGTACTGCTAGCCAGGAAGGGCGTCATGGGGAAAGCGGGGTTCAGGCTCTGGAGAGGCTCGGAGCGGAGCCGCCCCGACGGCCCCTTTCATCACCGGCAGGGGGCGCCGTCTCGCTCCTGGCTTGCGCCTGCTTTCTGCGCCCCCGGTGCCGAGCGTGCTAGGCCCTGGCTGGCCGCTGGTGCGGGAAGAGAAGCTGCAGTAGACACTGTCTGCCCTTGAGAGCTCAGCATGTGGCCGAGGACAAGCCTCCCCGCACACAGGCAGCCCTTGATGCAGAGCAGTGGGCGCTCCATTGGCTTCGTGCAGAAGGTGTCCCAGTAGCGAGATGCACAACAGGACAGGCCTCCCCAGTGCCCTGGGCGCCCAGATCCAGGCCTGATGAACAGGATAGTACTGGCACCTGGTGTGGTAGGAAGGGGTGCACACCCCCAAACCCTGGGAGCCCCGGGGCCTCCCCAGGAAAACAGGCTTGTTGGGGAGAACCTGCAGGAGCCGCATCACTCACTCCGCATTCCTTGGGCGGGACTGAAAGCGCATGGTCCACGCATGGGGTTCCCTGGGTGCCCCGTGCTGAGTCTGGGAGCGCTCACTTCCTAGCCAGGCCCGCCCACCCCAGGGGCGCTTGCTCGGGCGCTGAAGTTCACGTCAGGGAGGGCCGGCAGAGGCCCCTAATTCGCTGCTGTTCGCCGCTCCGTGAGGGGGCGGAGGAAACGGAAAGCGACTGTCGGCACTGACAGAGCGCAGCCGTGGGGAGACGTGTAGTTCTGCGTCACCGAGACCCTGGCTGGATGGTGAGCATGTAAAGACCAGACAACCAGAAGCTGTTTCTTTGCTGTTGATAATACCTTTTTGCCTTTGATAAGTATATTCAGTTGGATAGGGGAACAAGAACAGAAGCACTTACAGGACACTGGGGCGGGAAACCAGGGACAGGACATGGCGGTGTCACCAGGGCCCAGGGCAGGCAGGTTTCACAGGACAAGTGACGGGCACCAGGTCTGACGGAGGGCGGTCGGCGCACCCGCTCACACCTGCAGCACCGCCTGCTGGGAGTCCTGTGGCCGCCCGTGACGCTGCCACCCAAACCTAGACCCCACCGCCGTGCAGGGTGCTCTGTGGCTGGACTCGGCAGCCCCTCCAACCTCATTCTCTCCCCGCAGCGCACACGGCCCCCTGACGCCATGAACGCGGCCCCCTGGGCCTGTGCCTGCGCCTGCTCTTACCTCATTCACCCCAGGTCAGGAGTGTTCTCTCCTCTGTCCAAGGACAGCCCCTCCGAGGCCCGTCTCCTCTGTGACTCTCCAGCCTGCTCCCTCCTGGTTACCTCAACAGCATTTTCGTCACAGGTGGCCTCTGCTCCTTCCCTTGCCCGCCAGAGCAGGGGGCGGCACGCGGTCACAGCCTGCCCAGCCAGAGGTGGGACCGGACCCTGTCTCCCAGCCCACAGAGGCGGGAAGCCCTGCGGGGGCATCGTGTGAATCTGGGACTGTCCCTCTCTGGAGAACTGGCCTCTCCGCATCTCTGCACGAGAAAATGGACCAAAGTCGGAGACCTGCTCCTGTGGCCTTTCCCAGGACCGTTAAAAAAGTATTTGGGACGCTGCAGGCCACGCCTGGCCCAAGCCCAGGAGAGCGACTTGTTAGCTAAAAGCTGCAGTCCAGGCCCACAATCTGACAGCCTGACAGGGTCTCAAAGGTACCCCTCACCACCTGGGCCGCCGGAGCACATCCCGCGTCCCCGCCTCGCCTGGCCTCCTTCCGCACCGGCCCCCGCCCTGGGTTTCAGTCACCTCCTCGCAGCAGACACTGGTGCTTTGACAGCCGCACAGAACTCAGCGGAAGCAAAACTCTCAAATCTAAATGAAGCTCTAGACCATCCCGGCATTTTCAACACGGGGAGGAGTTTAGGAGTTTGAGTCAACTTACTGCAAAGTTAGGCTGACAATTTCTGAATACATTTCCCACCTTTTATTTCCACCTGTGTTATCCATTTAAAAAAGAATGACAAGAAAAGATGTCCATCCATTCCAGCTGGACTGCTGTCCAAGCTTCACGAAAGCGCGAAGAAGCCAAAGCGTTTCAGCCAGCACCCCCCCACCCCCGATAGGACGTGGTGGGCCCAGCTGCCCTCTGTCGGGGGCGCCGGGCACGCGCCTGGCCCTTGCGACGGTCGGCGCCCAGCGGCTGCCAGCTATGCCCTGCTCTGGGAGTTTTTGTTCAATAGCCACCTACAGAGGGTCGCGTGGCACAGTGGGAAATGGGTATGTGAGCCAGGGAGAGGCTATCTACCTTTTTACTTTTTAAGATTTTATTTATTTATTTTTAGAAGGAAGGGAAGGTAGGGGGAGAGGGAGAGAAACATTGGTGTGTAAGAGAAACATCAGCTGGTTGCCTCTCACATGTTCCTAGCTGGGGACCTGGCCCACAACCCAGGCACGTGCCCTGGCCAGGGATCGAACCAGTGACCTTTCGGTTCACAGGCCGGTGCTCAATCCACTGAGGCTGGTGCTCACACCAGCCAGGGCGAGGCTATGTACTTTTTGAAAATCTTCTGCAATATAGACATACCCCCAATCCCACAAAACCTGGAAAAAAATATACCTTAATCTCTGGTAGGTAAGTTAGTCAGTGGTACATTAATGTAACAGTGCAATGTCTGAAGATGCTAATTAAAAATAAATTGCTTTGGTTAGCATTTAAAACTTTCCTATTTAATAAAAGATTTTATTTTTGTAAAGGATTTTGAACACATATAAATCCTGAACTTCAACCTTGAATTTCAAGTGTGTATTTTACTAAAGAGCATGGAACCTTGACACGGCAGGCGGACGGCAGCTGGCACGGTGAGTGAGGGCGGCTGTGAGAGCCGCTGCCTCCTCTCTGTGCCCCGAGGTACCTGGGATGGTTGGAGATGTAAAGGGCACCGGGGGACGGGCAGCGGGGGAAGCAGGAAGGCGCAGCTGCGCCCCGGAGGACAGACGAGCAGTGGGCCGGGAGGGCAGGCACGCGGGGCAGGCGCGGAGGCAGCGCAGGGGGTGCCCCCCCACCCTCTGTCTCTTCCTGACACCTTCCCCGTTTCTGGGTGGAGGGAAACCCAGCAGGGAGCTCCTGCCCCACATCACCCCGAGGGGACGGCCCGGCCCGCACCCCACCTCTGCTCTAACCTTGTAACAAGTCCCTGGGCCCCACCTGCCTGTCCTGCACCCCAGCAGGGAGCACTCCGCAGCCAAGCCAGATAAAAAGGAGGAGGAGGAAAAAAGAAGGCCCGCGTTACACTTTTCATAACGATAGAATTTATAGCAGAAACTTAGCGTTTCTTTCTGTCCATACTTAGTTTTTCTTGGCTGCTGAGTTAATATTTTCTACATAGGATAAGTACTCCGCAATAATAATTTCTTCCTCTTCCAGAGTGGAGTCAAGATAGTCCTCTTCGTGCTCCGGGATGTCTTCCAGGATCTCGTTGACGGCGTCGATCTCCATGTCCTCGTCTGTGGAGGCGCTGGAGGTGCCTGCGAAAGACCCGTGGTGGCACCTGAGTCCGGGGGACACAGGCCGAGGAGAAGGGCCCGCGGGGAGGCCGCGCAGACGCCGGGCACACACCCCAGCAGGCGCGCGGCCGCCCCTTCTCAGCCCCCAGTGCGGCCTGCGGAAGCCGCACCCCCGCGGGTCGGCTTCTGGGTGTTCAGAGGCCCCAGACCTACCGGCCGAGTCGGAAGGGGACGCTGAGTCGGAAGGGGACGCCGAGTCGGAAGGGGACGTGGACGGCGTCGAGGAGTCTTCCGCCGGGAGCAGGTCCGCAGGGAGGCGTCCTCCGTTGTGGGCGAGGGTCTGGGCCGCCAGCTGGACGTTCCCCCGGAACACTCGGAGGGCGGCCTCGGCCGCCACCGCGTCGAAGCCCATGTACACCAGCTGCGGAGAGCACAGGCGGGCGGCCGCCGCTGTGCACCGGGAGCCGCGGGGGACCGCGAGCTGGGCCCGGTGGCCTCAGGAGGGCACGAGCTCGTGGGCCGAGGACGGGCCAGCCGAACCTCGTCACCAGGGTCACCGAGCAGCCACAAGGTGCCAGACGTCCCCGTGTGAAGGGGGAAGGATGCGGACAGAGTCGCCACAGAGACCGCCTTTGAGGCCCCAGGGGAGGATGGGTCGCGGGGCGCGTGCACCGCCCCGCCCCGCCCGCGCCTCGTGCGCCGCTGCTCCCGTCCCGCCCGCGCAACCGCAACCGCCGCGCTTCACGGTCGCAGGGCAGGCCGGGCTGACGTCACACCAGGCGCCCGGGAGCCAGGACTCAGCCTGTCCCGCTGCCGACCTTGTCACCCCCACCAGCGCCACCGGAGGCCGGACAGGCGGGGAGGCGCACGCACCCCTCTCACTTACTTGGTCAATATTTTCCTGGGAAGGGCTTTCTTGATGGTGGTTGGTCTCAGGACCGTAATCGTTGAGCCACATGTACGGGTTACTGAGGAGAATCTAAAAACACGCGGGACAGCCCCCCTTTACTCATCACGAGCGCCAGCCCACGGGCGAGGCCCGGCAGCAACCACGCGCAGGCCGGCACGGCCGTCGGGCTCAGGAGGCCGGAGGGCCCCGCGGAGAGCTACGCAGAGGCGCCGCGGGGGCCGGGAAGAGGGACCCCGACCCAGGCTGGGCCGCAGGCCCGTGTTCGAGGCCCCGCCAAAGGTAGGCGCGGGGCGGGGCCGGGCCCCTCCTGCCGCCTCTGCCGCGGGTTCGGAGGGAGAGGGCGCGGACGCGAGGGCCGCGGGCGGGGCTGCGCGCCGGGGAAGGGGCGGAGCGGGGCGGGGGCGCGGCGCACCTTCAGGGCCTGGTCCAGGTTCCCGCTGGCCTGGTGGAGCGCCTGCTTGGCCGCGTGAGCGGAGTAGCCCATCCCTTTCAAGGAGTTTATGTTCTCCAGGCGGCGTCTCTTCTTCTCCTTCTCCTCTCTCCTGATCTGGGCCAGTTCCTTCGGGAAACAGCGGGACCTCACTGAGCGGGGGAGGGGAGGGGGGCTGAGGTCCGCAGAACGGCTTCTCAAGCCCCGCGCTCTGGGATCTGGGGGCCTGACCGGCAGGCCCTCTGCCCGTCTCGGCCGGTCGACAGCGCGAGGGGCCGCCGGGCAGAGGCCACGCGGGGCTGGAGGCCTGTGTGGGGGAAAGAGGCCGCTTCACAGTCGCCGCCAGCCGAGCTGGCCCCTCAGACCTGTGCACTCCCTGCTCGGCGCGCGCCCCTGGGGGCTGGGAGAACCGTCTGCGAGGGCGCCAGGCTGCCGGGCCTTCGGCGAACGGCCGGGAGGACCGTGCAATGCGGGTTCCGGTGGGGTCGTGGGGCCGCGCGTCCTGGGGGATGCCAGAGCTGCTAACCCCCCACCGCACTCGGGTGCCGAGGGTGTAAGGAATGATGAGAGTTTTCAAATTATCTCATTTTAAAACACTGGCTTTCCAAATGCTAATAAATCTCACTGGTAATCAAGTAACAACACAGTAATGAGGACAGTATCTTTCCATCGGGGCTGAACCAGACTGCCCGGGATGCAGACCCTCAGAACTGGGCTTTCAGAGCCCCCGCCTTCTCCCAGGGACCCCCGTGGCGGGGTCCCAGCTGGAGGGGGCCTCTGCGATAATCCGCACCAGCTTCGGGTTTTAGAAGACAGCGGCTCCACGTCTTACTACACCATCAGTAACTCTCTCTGGACCTCAGCTCCCTTACTGTAAAAGTGGCATATTAGACATGTACTATTCCTTCCAACCCCCAAATTCTAGTTTTTATTTTACTCTACTTATTTCTGCGTGTTTTAAAGGAGCTTAATTTCGTGCCTTTGCTTTCGTAACATTATTTCTGATTCGACTCATGTTTCTAGGCAAGAATGCCACCTCAAACCCTAACAATGGCCCTGTGGGAAAATATGGCCCCCTTCAAAATGGTTTCCAGAAATAGACTGTGGTAACAATAAAAGAGGAGAGTGAGAAGGCCGCTGTGGGTACCTGTACCCATGAGCTACCTGCCACCACAGCACGAAATAAAATACGGAAACCGCAGGAACTTAGCACAGTTAGAAAGAAGACAGGTCCCTCCTGGCTCCCGGTCCACGGTGGTGGTGATGGAGCGCCTTATCATCAATACCTGCTCTGAAACGATCTTTTCTTGTTTTTCATATCCAAGAGCTAAGGCACTGGAGAAAGGAGCTGGCTACCGCCTTGGGTCCCACCCCTACTCCCAGGCCAGGGTGGGACCCAGGGTCCCGAGGCCCCGGTAAGGTACCTCTCTGCGGTTGGTGATGTGGGTCGCGGCGTGGTCCACGTTCCCATCGCAGGCCCTGAGGCCGAGCCGGGCTTCCTGGGCAGTGAACCCCAACTGCAACAAGTTGTGAACTTTTGTGGGATCAATATAGAGCTCCTTAAAGAGCTGCCGAGCCTGCAGACAGGAGAAATAGAAAAGTCATGTAGCTACAGCAACATTCAAGCTTACTACTGAGCTAAGCTTGTTCCCAGTGCGGATTTAGGGTGTGTCAAGTGATCAACTAATAATGCAAATGTAGACAGACAGCAGCCTCCACTCACAGGACTTATGCGATCTGTAATGTAACAGGAAGAAGCTGAGTAGTGTGGAAGGGGCTGGTACCCATTATCCCCTCCTTTTTGCAATAAATCCCCTGCATCTGAGCTGTGGAGGGGCATTTCTTAACCACCTCTGAGCTGGGGGCAGCCTCCTGGCCAAGTTTAGGCCAAGACACTCAGCCAATCTGAGGGCGTAACTTCTGGCCGGCTCCCTAAAGAATCTCTTGCCCCCTCTGCTGGCAGGAAGAGGCACTGACCGGAGCAACCCGGGATTGCCCCACAGCTCAGAGGCAGTGGCTGGATGACACAGGAACCTCTAGCCATGAAGTCACCATCTTGTTAAGGTTTCCTTATTATGGCACCCGGCCTGACTGCTAACGAATACAGATATGTTCGTGGTACATGTGAGAGAGATCTGTGCTCCTCTCAAGTCATAAACGATTGAGTTGACAAGATACTCAACTTCTGGGGATTAAAAAAAAAAAAAGTAGATGAAACTGGTTCCAAGTCCAAGCGTTCATTCTCACCTTGTTGAGATACTCACACGCCTCTTCGCCATTTCCACTGTGATAGTTTCGGATACCTTGAAGCAAGTAAAGTCTTAAAAACAACACCTTCTCTTTCCCACAATTTCCCTAAAATTATTGGGGGAGAAAAGGATAAAACGGTCTCATTTCTAATTACAGGTCAGTAGTAGTCACAGGCATAATGCGTGTCATCTCCACGGGGTAAAACAGAATTACTGAAATGTCTGAATCTACGCTGTTGCTGATGGCCAAGGCGAGGATCCCACGGGACAAGGACGTCCTCTGTCCCCATGGAAAAAATGGCGCCAGAAGCCCTGTCCCTGGAGCCCCGGCCCCCCGGGAAGTGTGCCGCGCCACCGCCCCCCAGCAGAACTCTGAGGCCGTGGACAGAAGAGGCCTTGTTCGAGTCATAGCACTTGAGCTGTGACTCCCTTATGGGAACTGGTACTCGTCAGAAGGTCCGCTTCCTGCCTTTAGATTTTCCATGAGACTCCGCGGAACAGTCAGCCGCCCCCGTGGTCAGGGGTTCTATGCCCGGTGCCGGCCCTCTGGGCCAAGCGCCTCTAGACGGCAATCTAAGTACAGTGACAGGAATGAACTCAGGTTCTAGAAGTGGGCGAACAACACCTCAGACCAATGACAGGAACGTACTTTTATGTGGACCAGTCTTTGATGATTTTCTCCATAGCAGTTTTTAAAGCAATTCTGGGCCAAGTTTAATTTTTTTTCCGCGTCATCGAGGCATTCCAGCTGCTCCAGGCAGAAGTAACACCACACGATGTCCAGCTGGAGCACCGCGTAGTTGTCCACCGTGTCCAGCAGCTCTCTGCCGCACTCGCTAGGGGGAGAGACGCGGTGTCACCGAAACAGGGCCCTGAACCCCCGCGTGTGGGTTCCTGGCATTCTCCTCCTGTTCGGTGTGTTTCCAAAGACTGACTGCTCTATGAGACTTGGTGTCTGTCCAGGGAGCTACATTTATAACCTGAATACGCCCAATGGGGAAAAAGGCAGGGCTCAGGGTCAGCGCGGGCGCTCACACTCCCGTGCCGTGCAGGGAAAGGGGCTCGGCAGAAAGTGGAAGCGGGGGCCGCCGTGTCAGACCCCTGAGCACACGCCGGAGACCGTGCTTTAACGCAGCGGTTCCCAACCCCGGCTGCACATCAGCCGTTCTCTGAACGGTCTGCCCAGCCCAAGAACTTGACTTGGAGGGAAGGGGACAAACTCTGTCAACTATGCTTTGCTCTTACACTCAAGGTAAGGTTATTTATTTATTAATTTTTTAAAGATTTTAGAGAGAGGGGAAGGGAGGGAGAAAAAGAGGGAGAGAAACACCAATGTGAGAGAGAGTTGCCTTCTGCATGCTCCCAACCTGGGACCCGGCCGGCAACTCAGGCAAGCGCCCCAGCTGGGAACCAAACCAGGGAGCTCTCGGTTTGCAGGGTGGCACCGAACCCACTGAGCCGCACCAGCCAGGGCTCCGGGTGAGACTGACGGAGCGGTCTCTCTAGACATCGGTTTCTGTGACAGAGGACCACCCTGCCACCACAGGAACACCTTCCCACAGTGTTCAACATCTTATGTGTGTGGGCAGGCTCCTTCACAAGCATCCAGAGCAAGGACAGAAATTACCTCATTGCAGGTAACAAAATCATGTGCGAATTCAGCTAACATCTGAGTATTTGGGCAATTTAAAAAAACACAACAGAACAAAACAGCCCTGGCTGGGTGGCTTATCTGGTTGAGCGTCGTCACGTATGACAGAAGGTTGCCGGTTTGACCCCTGGTCAGGGCGCATACTCTCTCCCCGGCTTTCTTTCTCTCTCAGTCAATAAGTATATCCTCAGGTGAGGATTTTTAAAAAGAAAAAAGCACAGGTCTCACATTAAAAAGGTACATTTCATCCTTTTAGTTTCAAAGATAACACGTTTTATTCATAATCTAGGCCTATAAGAGAGATCATGAAATCAGCACTTGTGTATCATAATTTTGACACTGCTAGGTCTATTTGAAAAATGTCACTCAGAAAAAACAAATTTTAAAGCCTTGTATAAAATTGTATCATAGAGCATATCTCCATTAATATTGCCCTGACTTCTGATTTTAGTAGCTTTACTATTCAACAATCAATACATTTTCATGTTGAATACAACATTAAAATAAATGTACATTTATTTAAATAAAATTTACTGAGCTAGCTTTAGAAAAATTAAATCCCACTGTGCCTTAAGTCAGTTATTTAACAGGCATTTATTATATTTGCCTTATGACTTTTAAATAAAGGCATTAATTTCAAGAAAGGTAAACTAACCTTAAGTATCTCCTTTTTCAGCCCTAAAGAAAGAAAAAGAAATGTTGGCTAACGTCCTTTCTAAGTCTTATTAGTGGCTTTAAGGAACTGGATGATAGTGTTCCGGTATCTCTTTTCCCCCTCAATTTTTTGTACTTGAGATTCATTAAGGGTCTGGTATCTGGGGTGCTTATAGTTTTCCTCAGCCTGGGGGCAATTCTGGCCCTTACTTGTTCAGGCATTTTCCTGTCCCCCTGCCTTTTTCAGGGACCCCCACTTCACAGCCCTGAGGCCGTCTGAGGTTGTCCCGCAGCTTGTGGGCGTCCTGTTCTCTTTTTCTCAGTTTTTCTGTTTCATGTGGGATTGTTTCTTTTGCCTCATCCTCCCATTTACTAACCTTCCCTTCTGCGGTCTCTAACCTGCGGTCAACCCCACCTGCCCAAGCCTGTGCTTCCGGTGCAGCCTCCCTGCCCTGCGCGGTGCCCGCCCTGCCCACGGGAACGTGTTTATAGCAGCCGTGTTAATGCCCATGTCTGCTACGTATGTTCCATGTCACCTCTGGACTGGTTTCTACTGATTGATTTTTCTCTTCATTATGGGTTCTATTGTCTTGCTGCTTTGCATGCCTGTGAATTTTTAATGAGATGCTGGATATTTCTGAATTGCTATAAATATTATCGAGCCTCCTTTGGGATGCAGTTACTTGAGAACAGAGTGATGCTTTCGAGGCTTGCTTTTCCGTCTGTTACGGGGACCAGAGCGCCTTTAGGGCTGATTCTGTTCCACTCCGGCTGGCGGGGACACCCGTTACCCGGCTCAGGTCCGCAAGGGAAACCACGCAGGGCCCCTCGCTGCCCGGCACCCTGGGGACCTGCGAAGTGGCCCCCACGGTGGCGCCCCGCTGCGGGGAGCGCTGTCCCGCGCCGCCAGGAAGCCCGTGTTTGCACACGCAGTGCCCCATTTTTCAGTCGTTTTCAGGCGGGAGGCTAAATCTAGTCCCTCTTACCCTGTCTTGGCCTAAAGCAGAACCCCCCTTTCTGGTTGTAAATGGGGAGAGAAACTGCTCTCGGTCCTACTGCATCCCACGCCCTGGGGTGCGTGACAGAAAGTTCCGACTCAACTTTTAGCCTATTTGGAGAGGGCAGGAGAAACGTCAAGTGCTGGGAAGGAAACGAACTGGAGTTTCTTCCAGCGACGTGACTGACCTGAAGAGACCTGATCTCCTTTATAAAGAGGAGAAACTCACAACAGTTATGCTAATAAGTTGGTCCAAATAAACAGACCCTCAGAAAAAAAGTCATTGTCTACTTACAAAGGCACTGACAGACATCATTGGATTATGAGATCTACTACTCACTTAACATGTTAACATACTGTGCGCTGAAGGCGTAGCCATTGTTATTCCTGGGTTGTGAGACCTGAAAATTACTGCAAGGATTTGTCCAGGGTAAAAAGGGAGACACCTACAGACAAAGATCAACCATGTCTTGCTCGCTGAAGCTGGATTGTGAACCCATGGGAATTCCTTATACCAGTCTCCATTTTTATACACATTGGAAATGTCCCCTCTTAAAGAGGAACAACTGTGGGAGGAAATGAAAACTCTGCCTGAATTTGAAGAACCTGCCTTACAGCCCACACTGGGGACACTCCGGAAGCTGCAGACGCCACAGGCCGGGCGAGGAAAGCCGACCCTGTCCTCTCACGCCCCTCCTCCCCAGCAGTGGAGACAATAAATCTCTCTGCTTAAGCTGGGATTTGTTCGCATAAAACCCAAGGGTGCTGCCAGCGCAGCGGCAAACCACGCAGCTGTAGTTACCGTCTTGCGGTGACCAGTGCATCTTGGGAATTCATCAAAATGGAAAAGAAAATAACATGACAGTGGCTACCTTTTGACTAGTTTCAAACACCATCTGTTTTTCACATGTCTCCCCTGCCCCAACCTCGGTCTCTTGGGACTGTGTCCCGTGACGAGGAACCAGGAAGCCGCAGGAGGCCACCGGCTCCTGGGCTGGGGCGGGGAGTGCCCAGGACGCCCCGGGACCCTTGGGCAGCGGAGGCCAGAGACCAGCAGGATTAGGACAGAAGGACGCAGGGCCGGCCCACTGGCCGCGATGGCCGCTCAGCAACTGAGGCTCGGGACACATCAAATGTGTTCAAATCCATGAGTGAAAAAAGGGAAGAGCACCTCACTGGTAACATCATGAGGGGAGATGTTAGGGGAGCCTCTCATTTATTCTGAAGACAAGAGAATAAGGGGGGAAAAACCAAGCACTTCATTGTGTTTGGCCACAAATTGCTCCTCTGCATAACCCAACACCCGAAGAGGAAAACTATTTCCTTTCAGGAGAATTCTAGCAACAAATGCAGAAGGAACAATAACCGATCACCTTTTCGCAGCCCCAATAAAACAGTGGATTTGGGGAACGGTCATCTACACCAAATCCACTGGGTGAAAAGCGGACGGCAGACCGTATCTCCCAAAAAGACAGACGTGATGTGTTGCATGTTTGTGCTAAAAGAAGTAAGTGCATACATTTCTAATGTTCTCTCCAGGGAAGAGAGCTCAGAAATACTCAGAAAAGAAATAATTTACAAACCGGTCTACATTGTCGCCACTCTCACCCCAGCCAGTGCCCGGGCTGAAAGCTGAAGCCCGAGGCGCTCAGAGGCTGGGAGGGCGCTGCCTGACGGGGCGGCGTCCTCGAACCCGGGGGCCACCGCGTTCAGGAGTGCCTACCAGAAGTATCTGTCGGCGTCCAGAAGGAAAGGCAAGGCTATTTCGTATTCTTTTCTTTTCAGGAACGCTCTGCCCTTCTCATGATAGCCCATAGCTAACGTGAGAGCCTAGGGAAAAATTAGGAATTTTAAAAACATCACTTTATAATCAAACGCTACATTAAAAGCATATTAAGTCTAAAGAAATCGAAGTAAGGAAAAAAGATCACAAGTAATTTATAAGCCCAACTTAAGAAAAATAGAATTTAAGCTTTATTTCCTTTACACACTGAAACCAAGCACTCGATTCGGAGTGGCCGATGCGGTGACAGCCAGCGCCTGTCGCTTTGTTTTCATCAGCTATTTTAGCAGCTGCTGACCTAGATCTATGTCTGGTTTTCTCTAAGACTGAAGATATAAAAAAACAGCCATAATCCGTGTGTCCTTTGCATCCTCTTTCAATGGAGCATTCATTTTACGTTCTCTCCTTCATCAGGGTTTTTTCTGAAGTATTCGTCAGCTCTAGTATTTCCAAAACAATTTTTAAACAGTGATCCAAACTTTTTTAAGCTCATTAGTAGTTTTAGGTTTGAATTTTTATATAATTCAATCTTGCAAAGGTCTTCCAAAATGACCTGGATGTCATTCCTTAGTGTAAGAGGGCAGTGGACACATTACTCCAACATTAAAAACAAACAAACAAACATCAGTCCACTGTCAGCTACAAAGTTCTCTTAATAAAGCGTAACTTTAATCCCCAGTTCTAACAGAATAATTCACGTACATAACCTACTCAAAACTGTCCTTCAGGGACAGAACAATTACATTAACGGGACCCACAGGCATCAGGCTTTTCTTGGTGAGGAGCCAGGGGAGTCCAGCTCCGAGCCGAAGCTCGGGCACGGTCGCAAGTGCTGCTGCCGAGAACCCCTCAAATGCGTCCAAAGGCCCAACCGCCTCCTCCTGTTCCAAGTTCTAGAACAGGGAAAGGGGGAGTGGAAAGGCAGGGGGGTGGGGACCGGACACAGCAGACTCGCCTGTCATTCTTTTCCCAAACTACACAGTGATCCATCCCTTAGGGGACACGGCCCTCTAGCGAGATAAACTCCACCCAGCAGCCAATGCTGAAGGCAGGGCGGAGGTCACTGGGGAATGTTCAAAGCCACGGCTGCCCTGGAACTCACAGGGGCAGCCTGCTGTACGTAGCCGCGCACGGTGCGGCTACGTGCTCTGCTGATGAACCTGAGACAGGACACTGCCTCTGATCCTGCGCAGCATTCCAAGATAAAATGACTAGAGAGCCCGCTCTGTCTCGACAACAAATCCAAGAACAAGCTGTCAGTTCCTGACAGGACTTACTTTTCTTTCTGCTGGAGGAATTTTGATGGACCTGCCCGTCTGGTTAGCAATTTCTAAGTATGGTGTGGTTTCGGAATCCACCATCTCAGCTGCAACAAGACCAAAGGGAACTTTATGCATTCGCTGTTAGAAAGCAATGACAGCGACATGCAAACTGTCAGACTGTTGGGAAGAGGAGCCAACAAGAAATGTGACCCCCTTCTGCCACACCCCCCCGGCCCCCCCATGGCAGGACTGGCTGCTGGCCTGAGGCACGGAGTGAGGTGGGAAACGCAGAGCCCGGGTACCTCTCTCCGCCAGGATCTCTAGTCCCCTCTTCGTCCTCTGAATTCTCTTTTCTTTTAGTTCAGCCTCGTTTTGCTCCTCCTCTTGAACCTGGAAGTCCTTCCGCACGTCCTCCTCGGACTGCTTCAGCTCCAGCACCATGGCTTTCACGTTGTGCGTCACGCCTTGCTCTTCCAGTGCCTTCCCTGTGACGATCGGAAGTGCGTGTTACATAAAGCCCTCACACCGGCGGGGACACAGGCTGCTCTCCGGGTGCCCGGAATCCTAACACCTGCCTCAGCACCTGCCGACCCGCAGGCCACCTGCGGTGCGGACACCAAGTTTAGACCGGGCGGTGTAACTGACCGGTAAGCAGTGGGTAGGATCAACCAGTGCAAATAGAGCTAATTCATGGTTTGCAATTTTCTTTATTCTAATTGTAAGATCAAATCGAAGCGATAAATATTTGAGACTACTGCAGGGAGAAGACTACGCTAGACAACAGAAAAGGGAAATGAGAAAGTGTAACTAACGCACGACTTTTCCTACCGCCTGGCTGGAGAGCAGCCGGCCCGCACAGCGCGGTGCGCGGGAGAGGTTGCTTGCCGCCATGGTAAAGAGCAAAGACCGTGGCTTCGATCCCTGTCTAACTCGGAGGCCCTGAGTGGGCAACTTATTTCCAGGACCCAGTTTCCCCATGTAGACGCTGGCCTTATGAAAAAAAATCAACCAAATATACAAACCTAACAAAAATTAAGTCAGAGCTGCAAATAAACTACCACCAATATGAAAAAAGGTAAATACAGACAGAGACTTTAAAATAACAAAATATTATGAACGATAAATATACACATTTGAACACATTTCTGGAAAATGCTATTTGCATATATGTATTCTTAAACTCAGCCACTGGCGTAAAGATCCACCGATGGCCAAGTCCCCTGGATAAAGAACCAAGAGAGCGATTCATCTCACTAGATTTTAAAACTACAACGAAATCAGAATAATAATAAACTGTGGGTGAAGTCGGTCAGAGGATACAAACTTTGAGTCATAAAATAGAAAAGGTTCTGGCCCAGGAAGAAACCTACAGGTAAATGGAAACAATATATATGGGGGCACCGAATGTCACTACGGCAGCAGCAAGTTCAGTAGGGGCATCGGAAGGACCATAAAGCCGGGCCCCTCGCCTTTATAAATAAGGGCGGACCTGGGCAGATGAAAGACCTCGCACAGATTGAACGAATACACGCGAGCCGAGGCTACCCCTGCGACCCGCGGGTTAGAGAAGGGGCTCCTTGGAACCCACAGGAAGGAGAGGGACGGATGGACTGGACGCCGCCCAGGATTTCTGCCCAGTGAAGGGCACCACAGAGAGCATGAGCCCCGGGATGCGAGATGCGAGATGCGGGCAGGCAGCGAGGAGACACCTGGGGCACGAAGCACAGACCGTGGGCGTGGCCCGAGGGGACGCTGGGCAGCGCGGGGGCGGCCCCGCGGGGCCTCTTCCCGTTCCACAGAGTCGCATCACGGGCTCCGAGGCGAGGCCGCGCAGCCCCCCGCCCGCCCCGCCTCGCGCGCCCTCACTCCGCCTCCCCACGGAGAACGCGCCGGAACCCCAGCCGCACTCAGAGCGTCCCTGCGCTTCCATTCTGTGACATTTTATCAGACCACTAGCGGGCACTCTCTTCCCCACTAGCACGGAACAGGCAATAAATACGTATTTAAAAAGCTGCTTGCTACTTTACCTTTTTAGTGTGGTGAACTCTAAAATAATTGGTTTTGAATTATATATGCAATAAAACCACTGCAAATTTGTGAATAGAGGAAGTGGGGGGAAAAAAGATGCAAAGTCATTATTTCTACATGAACTTGATTTTAAAATCCTGCATACTTTGCCATAACATACCTAGTTGAAGTTGTTTCTTATTTATGACAATTTTAATATAGTTCTCTCGAAATCCATAGGTTTCAGCTATTCTGTAAAACAAACCAGAGAAAAATGGGAGGTAATAAACTGCGTTAGTTTCCATTCAATAGATTTTAACCATGATGGCGACTTCACACATTTTACTCAGAAACACCCAGAATTTTAATTTACTGACTCACAAGTATCCATGGAGGGTGAGAGACAATGTCCCTGTGAAACTGTTTCACCACCTGTAGCCTCACAGGTGGAGCCCCTGCTGGCAGGGCAGGCATTTGAGAGGCGGGCGGGGCTGGGGGCAGTTCCTGCAGAGTGACCGCCGCCCCCGGGCCTGTCCCAAACAGCCCAGCTGAGGCGGAGGCGGAGGCGGAGGAAGAGAAAAACCAGCCTGGGAAACACCGGGGGCTGGAGCTGGAGGAGCTGGACCGTGCCATTCAAAAGCAGAGTTGCGCGCATGCGACAGGCAGCTGGCTGCTGCTTTTCCTTAGTTCAGAGGTGGTGGTATTTAAACCTTACCACCGGTACAATTACAGCGGTGATGGCGGCGGCCCCTGTCACAAATCAAGGGTCTTCACCTCACTGTCTGCAGCTTTGCCTCGCGGAGCGCGGTGCCCAGACTAGTGGCCTGGGCACCGCCGGGAGCTTGTCAGGTGCAGGATCTCAGTGCCTGCCCCAAACCTGCTGGACTCTGTTTTAAATCTTCTTAAAGGTTGTATTTGTTTATTAATGTTTTAGAGAGAGGGGGAGGGAGGGCAAAAAAGAGGGAGAGAAACATCGATTGGCTGCCTCTGCTCTTTTTTTCTTTTTACAGATGGGCCAGCAGCCTGAAATCAGCTAAACCACTTGGCTGAACATCTGAGCAAGTCATTATTAGCGCGCTGAGGAATAAAATGGGAAGCTAGTGACCGGTGACTGCCAGGCCGCCTCCGATTCACACCATTCCTTCGCTGGCTCACGCGTGAACCAAGGACCCGGAAGGCGGCGCACCTGGAGTGCCCCAAGCCCCGGCTGCACCAGGGAGCGAGGAGGGGTGGTGTGAGCCTGGGGTTCTCACCTGCCCTTAACTGCCCAGTGAGCCCAGGTAAGTCTGCCTGCAGCCTCACACCCTCCCTTTTCCCTTCCTCAGAGCCAGGAGAACAGCGCCCCCTCTTCCAGGCTGGCCCCCAGGATCAAACGGCCGAGGTAAAAGGGCGGGGCCCCGGGCGCCTGGCACGCAGACACGTACTTAGACCTCAGCTCTCTGCCGGTGATGTGTAATCGAGTCTCCAAGAGCTTCTTCCTTTCCTATTTAAAAAATCAGACAAATAAAGTAACTTCGTATCATAGGTTTTAAAAACAATCATAATTTATTTGATCATCTCACTAAGTTAACTAGGCATTAGTGCCTATGTAAACTTGAGAAAAGCTACTCACTTTTCTTAGCCGTGCAGGTAAAAATACCTCAATTGTGGCCATTCCCGTTGTCTTATAATTTTCATTTCCTGTGCCACGCTCGATCGCTTTGCAACGTATTTCTTCTATTATCTTCTCTACCTCATTTTCACAACATTCTAGCTTGTCAGAGTACTTCTTAGCAAGGTCCTAGAAAAAAATCAGAAAATACAGATCGATGTAGTATCAACTCAAAATAAGGCGGGGGGTCCACATGGAGAGCAGCACGTGCCAGAGCCCGATGAAGGGTGGTACCCCCGTCACAGTGACCTCCAGGCTGGCCTGGTACCTTGGGAGGCATAGAAACAAAGGGCAGGAAAAAAGACTCCATAGAAAAAGTGAAAGTGATAGAGATTATCCTAGGGAGAAAAGACAAGCAGACTATAACTTAAGTGATTGTAACATTTAAAAATTATTTTAAGGAATAGTAAACCAATGATCTCCACTGGAGGGGAAAAAAAAGAAAGACACAGAAAACATCCTCATGTGAGAACAGGTCAGGGTAGACATAAGTAACTTCCTTTTTTTTTTTTTTAATTTTGTATTTTACTTTTTATTTTTTATCCTCAACTGAGGACATTTTCTTTCATTGCTTTTATAGAGCGACGCAGGGAGAGAGAGAAAAATGATCGATGCAAGAGAGAAGCACCGACTGGCTGCCTCCCATACAAGTATGCACTCAGACAGGGCATGGGCGCCGGGACTGGGAATCAAACCTGTGGCCCAGGTATGTGCCCTGACTGGGAATCGAACCAGCGACCTTTTGGTGATGGGAGGATGCTCCAACCAAGCCACACTGGCCAGGGCTGTAAATAACTTTCTCAGTGGAAAATTTTGAATCACTGGTACTCCTTGTAAAATAATTGCTAGAACAACTCAACAGAACTCAAGAAAATGCTCCCCTTGCCATAATGGTTTATTATAAAGGATGCAAACGAATACCAAGATAAAGAGGTAAATAGGTGGAGTCTGAAGGGGCCTGGGACGCAGCACATGGATGTGTTTGCCAACCTGGAAGCTCCCCAGCCCATCATTTAAGGATTTCATGGTGGAGCCAGGATGGGGCCCAGGCTGACCAGGCAGGCTGGTGATTAACCGGGTGTCCAGCCGCCTCCCTCTCACCTTCCCCCGGGCTGGAGGGTGGGGCTGAGTTCCAAGCTTCTAATCAGCTCTTTGGCCACAGCCCCATCCTGAGGCTGTTGCCAAGAGTTGCCTCCTTAGAACAAAAGACGCCCCTGTCACCCTCACCACTGGGGAATTTCCAGGGTTTTTGGGGTTCAGTGCCAGAAACCAAATACCTTCTGCATTAGGCCACACGGAAGCCCTGAACCAGGAGGCAGTAACAAGCAAATTCAGAAGGAAGGTCGGAGGGTGGAGGGAGGCCTTCCAGGGACAGGGGAGGCAGGGGAGCTCTAAGGCCCTGATCAGCTGTCGCCCCCCAAGTGCATCATTGCATCACAACGATCTGACAGTCAGTGACATTCCTGAGTCCCCGATAAATGTTACACCGTTTATCTCTAGAGACTCAGAACTGCGAACGCAGAAAAGTGTGTGCTATACGCTAGTACAACCGATTTCTATAAAAAAATGGTTCGTGTCTTTCTCTGCCTAGGAAAGCAGGAAATTTTCTATTTCTAGAAATTTCACTTCTGTAAAATAAGGCCATTTCTGATGCCACAAAAACTGAGGCGTAATTAATAGAAAAAGAAAGTCGTTTGGAAAACTGAGCAGAGCCACAGTGTAGATGAAAAAGCTGGGGGAGGGGCAGTGGTTTTCTAGGGACCGGGCGGGCGAGGGGGCTGAGGCCCAACCGGGACAGCCCCCCACCCCGAACGCGGGTCACCCGCCCGTACCAACACGGCTGCCACACTAGCAGGTCAAAAGTAGTCCCTAGGTTAATGACGTCAGGAGATGCTGTGAGGGTATTAAAAATAGTATATGCCCCAGAAATCAGGTGACACTTTCATGTGAGTAATATCTTATCAAGCAAAAATAAGCCTGCTAACTCCCAGTGAGAGGTGGGTTCCTGCTTATCTCCACTGCTTTCAGTGATGCCCCAAGTTTTTGTCCATGGCTGCGCCTGGCAACTGCGGTGGCTTCAGGAATCTCATTGACCAATGTGGGTGAAAAAAGGCTCCGTAAAAAATCTGACCTGAAGTAGCCTCACAGGGCGATCTGATCGCAAATTCCTACCTGGGCAGGCCGCTGCGGGCAGTCACGCCCCAGGCCTCTGACTGCTTTACTTACAGGAAAGGCTGCCTTTGCCTTAAGCGAGCCGGTCCCTGTTTCTGTGCATCCAGGTTCGCACGCCTTTGAAGGGCCTCTTTCAGATCCCTAACGACCCTCGGGGGGAGCACAGAATCTTGTTGCCTGTCCAGCAGCGGTCCAGTCCCCACCTGGCTTTCTCCCTAGATTTCAGGTAATCTTCCTTATGTTCCCTCTGTAACTGCCAGTGTACACAGGCGGCTGCAAACTGCCAGTCTGGGGCGGATTTTCCTCAGTCTGTTGAGCTCTTGCTTCCAGACTTGTCCTCTGTTTGGCTCAAATAAACTCTAATGAACTTATAAAAATTTCTATGCGTTTGGACGTTCTTCTGTTGACACCAAGGAGACTTATACCACCGCTAATGATCTGTGTCTTAAAAGAAAAATACCTTCAGTGCCAAACCGACTTCTTTATTTTCATCTGTATATGGAGGTTTCCAAAGTTGAATTCTGTCTTCCCTTAAAAACTGGGTCAATTTTGCTTGGAGATATTTCTTTTGCGCCATCCTTGAAAGCAAAACAGTACAGCAGTGAACCTCACACAACATTTCAAAGTACGTACAGCCACCTCATATGCGGCTGTGCTTTGTAGCGCTCCCCCCAACTTTCCCCACTCCAGTCTAATCTAAATCCCTTCTAGAATAGGTTTTAACTGGTTCCAGACTTCTCTGAAATACATATTTATTTATATATATATAGATATAAATATATAGAGAGAGATATGTTATACAATTATATATTTTATTACATTAAAATATGTACTTCAAAGGCGCTAACATGTAGCTAAGTTTATTTATACTTTTCTATTTCTTTACCCTGCTATTATTCCCCGATCTAAGAAAAGAGATAAAATAAGAGAAAGATGAATCCCTAAAGCAGTGACCTTTTCTAAGAAGCTCGGCACAGAGCTTATCAAGTCTCTTGTATTTTGGCTACTGTAGCATGAAACAAATACCAACTACCCTGGTAGGTAAGCATTAAAAAAGTTAGTGTGAACTGTGAACTATCAGTAATAAATATCCTCTAGATGTGAATTTTTTTAAATTAAAAATGTACTATTACAACACTGGGAAAGTACCGCATGATGTTTTGTAGTAATAGCACGAGAGCAGAGCTGCATATTTAACACTGACTGCTCAGCCCATCATTTTACAGGTGCGAAGACCCAGGCCCCCAGTTTGTGAAATGACCCAGCCAAGGTCACCAAATTGGGCAGCACCACACCGGCACTGTGACTTCTGCCTGCAGCGTCGGGTTCCGCATTCTGCTTTCAAGTCCCTTGCTGCCTCTCCGTCCTGCCTGTGTAACTGCTCTCTCCCAAAGCAGCACCTGCCAGCTAAGGAGCTGCCCACTTGGACCTCAGCAGCCAGGCAACTCAAAGCGGGGGGCGAGGCTGCCAGGACAGGGTAACAGCTGAAAGGGGTGGTGCAGCCAAATCATACAAGCAGTAAGAACAGTAGAGGCCCTGGCCAGGTGGCTCATTTGGTTAGAGCACCATCCTGCTACACCAAGGTTGTTGGTTCGGACCCCGGTCAAGGCACATACGAAAATCAACCAATGAGTGTATAAATAAGTGGAACAACAGATTGATGTTTTTCTCTCTCCCTCCCCCTTCTCATTCTTTGTAAAATTTTAAAAAGTAGTTAATTGTTAGGCCCTGAGGATGAAGACAAGTTCTAGAGAGCAAAAAAACATAAGCTAGTGTAACCTAGATAGATACGTGACTTTTTTTTTTCTGTCCAGGGCCTGTATTCCACACTCCCCCGAACCCAATTCACCTGATTTTTAAATCAAGTTGGATAACTTAAGTGTATTCCATAAACAAGTATTTTAAAAGGAACTCCAAATGTATTTTGTATCCGTTTGGCCATGAGAAAAGGTAATCAGGTGGGGAGGAGAAAGGGGAGGAAGGAATAAACACACCAGAGAGGGGACTGTGTGCGTCCAGATGACCAGGAGAGAGCCTAGACCTTCCAGCACTAACTGCATCGCACCCAGGAAGTCTGTGTTAGCACTTGTGTGTGTGAGCTTTACTAACAGGGAATTTACAAGGCTACCGCACAAAGCTCATTCCCCACCCACAGGCCTTCAGGACCTTATCATGAGCTGCTTACTGGAGCCAAGCTATTTGGAAGGCTAAGTGCCCAGGCCCCTGCCGCCCCACCCAAGGGTCTAAAGGGTCCCACATGCCTCGTGTGTACCCCGCAATCCACCCACCAGCAAAGAACCAGCAACGAGGTCTACACCACCCGGCTTAATGTTTGCACAGAGACGAAACCACCGTCGTTAAACTTTCAAAACTTTAGTTTTAGGCAACAACAGAATACGTGAGATTACAGATTACAAATCACATCCAAAGGAAAAAAGGTTTAAAGCATCCATTTTCTATTTTAACTGGAGAACTAAAGTGTCGTGGGTGCTATACAAGGTCCCACATTACAGCCCCCGCCCAAAGCGGAAATCCATCACTACCGCTGCTGCGAACAGAAAGTGAGACATTGTAAAATAAACCGCCCCGTTAAAATGTTCAGTTTCACTTTTGTAATAAATGGACCTACGCAACAGTTACTCAGAGCTTCTCAAATATATCTATTTCAAAATTAAACGATTCTTCAGGCAGCGTAATAAAACATCCTTGTCTTTAAAAGTCAGAGTCAGGGAAGGAGGTGAGAAATACAGAATCAGATCGTCAAGGCTGGAGAAAATCAACCGTGTTCTTTGATTACAAAGCAAAGAAAATCTGGTTTTGACTGCAAGTCAGTCCCAAGTGGCATAAGCGGAATAACAGTGTTCCTATTCAAGCTTTTTGTGTGTTCATGTATTTCCCTGTCTCCTCCCAGAATAACACTCGCTCTTTTTAAAACACCCACCCCCTTCGCCCAGACCAGCCCAAACCTAGGGCCCCGCGAACGGCCGGCGCGTCCGGAAGCCCCAGCTGCCATCCCCTGCCCCGGCCCGGCCTCCGCGTAGGAAGCCCAGCGGAGGCCGCGCCGGACCCGGGCGGGGCAGGGTAGGGATCGCGTCGGGGACCGGGGGCGCCGAGCGGTGCCGCTGAGACCCTCGTCCAGGGATCGACGCTCGGCGCTGTCTCCTCACCTGCGCCACCGCCGCGCCGCCGCGACCTGCCAAGTGCCCGGATGCGGCTGCGGCCGCCGTTGGTAGTCATTCCGGGTGAGGCGGGCCCCGCCCCCGCCGCCGCTGCAGCCAGTCCCACTCGACCCCCGCGAGGCCAGGAAGGCGGCTTGTGGGCGGGGCTAAGGTGGGGTGGGCCTTAGGCGGGGAGAAGACAGACTCATGATAGGTTGTGGTGGGGGCGGGGATTGGCCATGGGCGGGGCTAAGGCGAAGAGGGGGTGTGGGTGGGGCGGGGTCGGGCGAGAGTGGGGGCGTGGTATAGTGAGGATGGGGCGGGGGCGGGGCGGGGGTCCGGGGCCGGGTCCCGGGTCCCGGCCGGCGCCCGGGCCGGGGCCGCGGCGAGGACCAGGCCGCTTGCAATGGAGACCCGGAACTGCGGCCCTAGGAGCCGAGGGGCGACTGTCGGCCCGACCCAGTTTGCCCGACTTCGGAGGACATTGATCCTGGCTTCCTTCTTCCAAAGCCTTCAAAGAGACCAGAGCACCTTGCAGGAAAACCCGGAGGGAGGTCTGGACCTCCTGTCGCAAGATGCGCCCCCCGCCCCCCCGCCGCCCGCTCCTGGATCTAGGCCGGACCAAACGGTCGTTCCCCTAAACCTCCGGTGTCATCCCGCCCTCCATCACCCAGCACCGCCTCCCCTCCGGGTACAACTTCGCTGCCCGCGGCCGGCCCTGCTAAGCGGCCTGTGCCGGTGCGCCCAGGTGAGGGACTGACGTATGCGGAACAACCAAGAGCAGCTGGAGAAATGCCCTGAGAATGGGGCAGAGCCCAGGGGGTTGAGCTTTCTTTGAAGGGTGGTTCGATCTGCCTCTAGCAGGAGGGCCAGGTATGGAAGATAGAGTTCATCCCAGACCCCAGAAAGTTTGCCGGGATGCAGCCGTTGGCCCCTCCTTTCCAAATCCCGAAGCCCACCCCTGGGCCTGCGCTAGCACTGTCGCGGATGAGGCTGGAGAGCATAGGTCCTGCGCGCAGGCAGGGTACCTGGGAGAGCCATGCGGCGCTGGGTTTCGGCGCGGGTAATTGCAACGCTGCCCACCTGGGCATGGTGGATAAAATCTTGGGCTCGGGTCTGGCCCTGTCACTACACCAGGACAACCCCCAGGACACGACTAGCCCCAGCAGTACATTTCCAAAAAGGGATGTATTGGGTCTAGAATAACACCGGGGGGCCCGGCCGCAGACAGTCCCAGAAGGGCTTTGCACACCCTCCACCGCATCCGCCGGAAGGGAGGAGGCTGGACCCCTCCCGGAGCCCTTCCACTCTCGGGGAGGGAGTCTTAGGAGGAATGTGCGCCTACATCCACTTTAAGGAAGAGAAACGCGTTCTGGATGGAGCGATGTCTGCCAGGGCCCCCTGCCTGCCCATCGCGCAGACGCAGAGCGATTTCAGTTCCCCTTTCCTCATCTGGTGACTTGCAGGCTTGGTCCACCGACCTGGCAGTGCCTACGGAGCTGGCAGGTTTCTGTCTTTTCCAAATAAGACTTTTCCGTCTCCATAGCCCCCTTTGGGTATACAGACACTGACATAATCTGTATCTTGGGCCAAAACAACTTCTTAGTCAGGAGAGCAGGCACATGGTGAAATGGGGGAAAGATGGTCAATTCACATCAAAGACCAATCTGTTTGGTATATAAAGAGCTCTTACAATTCAATAAGAAAGGCCAACATAGAAAACTGGGCAAAGGCTAGGAAAATAAGCTTCACTACAAAGGAATGAAACATGGTTTATAAACATAAGGAAAATTACTTAACCCCACCCATAATATGATAAATATAAATTAAAACTATTCTGAGGGACCACTTTTTACCTATCAGCCTGGGGGAAAATGGCACCACGCTATGAAGGCAAGGCTGTTTGGAAACAGGAATCCTCAGTACTTTATACTTGGGGAGGGTAAGTGGATAACAAGACCTAGAAGGAAAATCTGACAGGATATCTTAAAGTCAAAATGCATATTCTCTTTGACCTAATAATTTGACTTTCATTATTCTTGCTGTACTTTATTAGCCTGCTTCTTCTGTTTTTCCTAATACTGACATTGGGGGTTTCAGCTGCAACTTCTTGAGATGAAGAATCTTCCCTAATTCCTGTTCACACTTTTGCTG